GCTATTGTAGGTATCTCATATAAGTATCACATAGAATTTGTCCTTTTGTGACTTGCTTATTTCACACAGCATAATGTCTTTAAGGTTCATCTATGTTGTAGCAGGTGTCAGAATTTCCTTCCTTTTTAAGACTGCATAATATTCCATCACATGGATGGACTACTTTTGCTTCTCCATCTATCCAACGTGGGCACAGGTAGCTTCCACGTTTTGGCTATTTGAATAATGCTGCTATGAACATGGATGTGTAAATATCTCTTACAGACCACTTTCAATTATTTTGGTCACTCAACTTACATGACTTCTTATTTTTGAAACAGTTTAAGACTGACACAAAGATGCAAAAAAGTAGTACAGTTTCCATGAACCCTCAACTCAGCTTCCTCCAGTGAAATGGTTTATCTTAATCACTGTCAAAACCAGGAAACTGATACAATGTAATGGACTCAGGTACCACAACTTATTCCTCAAAGTTGTAAAAAAAATTCCATTTGTAAAGAACTGTTCCTTTTAAAATTTTAATGAATTTTCTTAGGGAGAGAATGGAGGGTTAGAGCTGGCCTGGGTTCAAATTCTGCCTGAGTCCTCATGTGGTATGTGCCCTCAGATGAATTATTTTCCCATTTCAAGCCTCAGTTTCTTCCACTGTAAAATGGAGATTAAAGAGTGCTGCAAGCTTTTTATATTTTAATAAGTTCAGACCTACAGAAAAGTTGCAAAGACAGTAGAGACTCCCCTATCCCCCTCACCCAACTTCCTGGAATATGAACATCTTACACTATCAGGTGGATTTGTACAACTAAGAAATTGACACTGGTACATTGTTATTAGCCAATCTCCTGATGTTATCCTGATGTCACCAGTTTTTCCATTTGTGTCCTCTTCCTGTGCTAGGACCCTGTAGAGGGAACCCAGTTGCATTTTGTGATCACATCTCCCCAGTCTCCTCTGGTCTGGGATGGCTCTTGGGTCTTTCTTTGTTGTTCATGACTTTGGCAGTTTTTGGAAGAACTGGCTGTGTGTCCTGCAGGAAGACCTCAATCTGTGTCTGTCTGATGTTCCTGTCATAATTAGAATGGGGTTATGGGTGTTTGCGAAATGCCCTTCTTATCCCATTATACCAGGAATCCTTGATACCTACATGACTTATCACAGAGCTGTAATTTGGGTCATTTGGTTCAGGTGATGGGTGTCCTGGGGCTGCCATAACAAATGACCACAAAGTTGGTGGCTTGAAACAAATTTATCCTCTCAAAGTTCGGGAGGCCAGAAGTCCAAAATCAGTGCTGGCAGGGCCACGTTCCCTCTGGAGGCTACTGGGGGTTCCTAGCATTCCTTGGGGGTTCCTAGCATTCCTTGGCTAGTGGCTGCATCACCCCAATCTCTGCCTCTGTCTTCTCTGTGTCTCAAATCTGCCTCTGCCTTTCTCTTAGAAGGATACCAGTCACTGGGTTTTGGCTCCATCCTAAATCCCAAATGATTTCATCTCAGGATCCTTAACTTAATTACATCTAAAAATACTCTTTTTCCAAATAATGTCACATTCTCAGGTTCGGGGAGTTAGGACTGGGACATATCTTTAAGGGATCACCATTTAACTCACTACATGTGTTATCTGCCAGGTGTCTCTACTATTCAAGCCTCTACCAATTTACTATTTTCCCCTTTCTCTACTCAACTTTAAAATATATATATCTTTATTGACTTCAGAGAGAGGAAGAGAGAGAAGGAGAGAGATAGAGGCATCAATGAGGAGAAAGTCATCGATTGGCTGCCTCCTGCCTGCCCCCCACCGGGGATCGAGCCCACAACCCAGGCATGTGCCCTGAGGGGGAATAGAACCTCGATCTCCTGGATCCTAGGTCGTTGTTCAACCTCTGAGCCACACCGGCCGGGCTCTCTATTCTTTACAAGCAGGACACTAAGTCCAGAATAGAAAGTATTCTGCCTAGCGGATGAGCCATAGCTTACTCAACCAGTCCACTGTTATTAGACCTTTATGTTCTTTCTGCTATTTTAGAGTTGGCAACATTGCCGCAAAGCCTGGCAGAGTGGTTCCCTAGATTTGCAAGACCTCGTTAGTTATAAATTGTCAGAAATAGATTACTGAATTGAAGAGTGTGACACTTTTATGGATTTTGAGACTTATGCCATTTTTTCCCCACTTAAAAGAAAATATATGTCCACTGGTTTCACCATAACCTTGCCAGCATTAGGTTTTACAATGTGTCCCCCTTCCTTTTTTAGTAGAAGGTAGGGTATTTTTATTAATTTGATAGGTACATTGGTCCACACCATTTAAGTTTCTGGTGTCAGAAATACAATTTCAACTGGAATTTAAAAAATAGCAGTATTGGTTCAAGGGATAAGGAAGGGTAAGGATTTGTGAAGCAACAGGTACAGCTAGATCCAGAATTAAAAAGGGCCAAGACTCTGAAGTGGGGAGATGGCATGTCTGTACCTGACTCACACTACTCTAGCTCTGCAGTTCCAGCACCATCCTAGGGGATCGCTCTCATTGGTTGACCTGGGACATGTGTCCATGAGAGAGGAGGAGGGACAATGCTGACTCCCTCAAATAGTGGCCCATGTAGCCTCTCATGTTTTTGCTCCTACAAGTCAGAGTCCAGAAGGCCTACGTGTGCAAAAGCACAATTAAATGTGCCACAAGCCAGGTAATGATGAAAATTTATGCAAGGTACTAAAGTTCAAAGTATAAGAGAGGGAGTGATTAGGTTTTGGGGTCAGTCATTGAAAAGTTCACAAAGCAGCTATGCATTACTGCAGGCTCTGACAATTGCTAGGGACAGAGTCCAAACTCCAAGTGGATTAATCAATAAAGAACAACTTCTTAGGCTCATATAAATGGAAAGTCAGATCTAATGGCTTCAGGCATGGCTGGATTCAGGGGCTCAAACCATGCCTCCCTGTCCACCAAGTAGTTCTTATGTATGTTGGATTCTTGTGTATGTTGGAACCTGATGGCACTGGGTTTTCGCTATCTCACTCGTAAGTCTCACTATTTCAGTAAATAGGAATATCTCACTATTTCACTTTTGACAACCTCCACAGAAGACACTCTTCTCCCTTCTATCATTCACTTTCCCTCTCAAGGGAGGTTCTAGTTGGTCTTGGTTGGTCACGTGCTTCTACTTTAACCAATCACTATGGCCAGGAGGATGGAGAACTCTGATTGGCCACCTCTATGTTGAAAGGACCGACAAAGACCGCAGTGACCTCAGTCTACCACACGGGGTCACCCAAGTAGAGTTTTCAAGGGTGAATAGGAGTAGGCCAATTGGGCAAAAGAAGAAAACCTCTGCATAGAAAAGTCTAGAAAAGTCAGAAAGGAGTAATCCAGCACAAGATTTTCTTCCTACTTCCACCCATATTAATACTGGGACACTTCATGTATCCCAGTTTCTGTTGTTTACATCAAGCAGCCTTTACCCTTAACAAAGCTTGGCAGTTCACCCTGATCCCTCTAACACAGTTAGCACATCACTTTTGGCAGCCTACCAGCGTCCTGCACACATCCCAGACCTCGCCAGCTCCCCTGAAGCCCTGACCTGATGATAGATGGGACTTGGGGAATAAATGCTCCAGCTGCCCTGACCGTGGATGGGACCACAATGAGACATGAGCTCTTTTGCTGTTTTCCTGAGGTCCCCAGCTGGACTGGCCCCTTGCTTTCTGTGTCATCTACTCATTGGTGACCTCTGCAGGGATCCTTCCCTCCCTGTTTCAGGTCTCCACCCCCAATGGGGGCTTCCTGGAGTCATCTCCTGAATACACTATGTGACCTTAAGTATTCATCTCAGGACCCCCAAACTAAAACATAAAGGACAACTGTTGGTCCAGGGGTAACAAGTGCCTGGCACTTTATATGGGTTCCACATTTGATCAATTCACTAACATATCAAGAGATATGCTCTAAGCCCTGGTACGTGTAAGTATAACCTTATTTGAAATAAGGTCTTTGCAGTTGTAATTAAGGATCTTTAGATGACATTATCCTGGATTTAGAGTGGTTCTATTAAGAAAAAGGAGTGTCCTTATAACAGAAAGGAGAGGAAGATTTAGACATAGACACACAGAGAGAAGAAAGCTGTGTGAAGAAAAAGAAAGATATTGGAATGATGTGTCCACAAACCAAGGCACTACAAAGATTGCCAACTATCAGAAGCTGGGACAGCAGCATGGGATGAATTGTCCCTCAGGGCCTTCTGCAGGGAACAAACCTGCTGACACCTTGATTTCAGACTTCTATTGTGGTAATTTGTTACAGCAGCCCAAGGCAAGAATACATTTACCTATTTATTTTTACTGTCTGTCTCTCCAGCTGGCTCCTAAGTCCGAGGAGGGCCAGTTTTGTCAGGTTTGTTCACTTGTGCTTCCAAGAGCAGGCAAGTAGTAGGTGTTCAATAAATATTTATTGCTCGCCCATGCATTGTGCTTAGTATGTGCTAGATGTTGTCCAAAGTGCTTTCATATGGCTTACTCGGTTCACCTTCACTGCAACCTTCTAGAGCAGACACTATCATTACATCCATTTTATAGAGGGGACAACTAAGGCATAGAGGGGCACAGTTAGGATTCCAATTTACCAAAAGATGTGCCTTGGATAAGGACCAATTACAGTTGTGAGAATCAGAAGGCACTTTTTGATAACCAAGGAGTCTCGGCGTTTCCAATGCAAGGTGTAAGGAATAACCAGCATTGTCCACAGCGTGAAGCCTAGACCAGAGAGGGTTACACGTGAGCATGCGCTCTTACCCCAAGGCCTCCAGCGCTGGCGCGTGTTCCTCCGCTCCCTTTTGCAGCACTCACCGCGGTACTTTACGGCTCTTTCCCTTATTTCTCTGGCTGGAACACGGCCCGCACCACCCCTTGTGCCTGACAGGCCCCGCCCTACTCCACGTCGATTGGTTGTTCTTCCTTTGAGCCCCGTGCTGAATGGCTCCTGTCGCTGCCATTCCATTCAGCCTAGTGGCGCGCGGCGGGGCGGATTCCGGCGGGCGCGTGAACGGTGGAGGTGGCGGCGGAAGTAACCGGTGGGCCAGGTCCCTGCCGACACCATGGTGAGGGCAGGATGATGGCAAGTTTTTGCCAGGAGGCTGGCATGCGGCCTCCAAGGCCCCTCGGGGCTGGCGCTGGGGTAGGGGCCACGCGGAGTGAGTGTGTAATCCGGCCCTGCAGGCCTGCCTCTCGGCCCGAGGCGGAGAAACTGAGGCCGGAGAGAGATTGGGGCTCTCCTAGGGTACCCAGCGGGTCGGTCTCGGGGAACTTAGAGTTGAACTAACGTGTAACCATAGTATAGCGGCCTAGTCGCAGACTTCCCATTTTGCAGATGGGGAGACTGAGGCCGGAGAGGAAAGGGACCCACCGAAGGGCCCTGTGAATGCAGCAGAGTGAGTTTGGCAGAGAAATGTCCCCGGGTGCATCCGACCCAGTATAATTTCATATTGGGAAGCTGGAATGCCAATATGGCAAATAGGGGGCCCATCTGAGTTCTCAAATTAAACCAGTTTTGGGGATTTCGGGGCTTGCAAGGCCCTCAGAATGTTAACAGCACAACTTTATGTGCCTCTCGTTTTTCAGGCTGAAAAACAGACCCAGAAAAGGAATTTTCTCCTCCCTGGATCACAAAGCAGGGAAGAGGGGGCATTTTGAGCCAGGAGTGGACTAGTTGCGCCCTCTCAGTTCACAGAAGGAAAAATTGAGACCCAGACATGGAAACGGAGGCCCTCAAAGCAGAATTCAGAGTCGGGCCTCCTGGGAGAGTGCTTGGCCGATCAGCACCTGAGTTACGCTGAGACCGTTGCTGCATGTTTCTCAGGGTTATTGTAGGTTCCCATAAATACTACTGATTAGTACAAGAACTGAGAGAAGGGATCGGGCTGCTCTGCTAGAAGGCAGAGTCAGCCTGAGGGGATGGCCAGAATAATCCCTCTTTGTTAAGGTCCATGGAATCGGGATCTTTGTGTTTATCCTTGATATATGAGAGTCTAGAACAGCACCTGTGCAAAGTGCAGGCTGATTTTTTCAATTGGAAGAGTGTCCAGGAGTAGACAAGGCATGACACACACCCAGTTCCCTGTGGTCATGGCGGCTAGAAGCAGAGAGCTGGGGGTGTATGTAGGGATGGTCCTTGACAGTTTCTTGAATTGGGAACCTCAGGAGCCCATTTGGTTTAGTCCTGGATTGGTCCAGACCTGAGTACCAGACCCCAAATGTGAGAAAGCCCAAAGAAAGGAATCCTCTTTCCTTCAGCTTTTCTGACTTTCCTAATACTAGATGGCCCAGTCTCCCTCAGAACTGGGTGTCCGGCCTTCTGTTTCCCTTGATACCGTCACACATCTTCCTCTTTCCCATGGAATTTTAAGTTCTCCAGGATCCTCCCCTTCTTTGCTTCTCTGTCTCCAGCACAGTTTGGGGATGAGAATGTAAATGTCAGGACATGGCCACTGCTCCTGCATGGAGGACTGCCTGGATGCCACCTCTCTCTTGAACCTCTCCTTATTTGTGTGATGGGGCAAGCATCCCACCTGCCCCATGTGCCTCCCTGGGCAGTATGTGTATTTTTCTTGTATTTATTCAGCAAATATTTACTTTGTCTGCCTGGTGTGCCTGGCCCCGTGCTTGGCGCTGGACAAAGTACACACTTTCTGAGTTTTCCAGTCTAACAGGAGGTGTGGTGTTTCAAGTCTAGCCAGGGAGACAAGTAAACAAGATAATTAGAGACTGGCTACGTCCTATAATGGAAACAGCAGAGGGTGGCCCAGGTGGAAACCTCATTTCCTAAATGGGGTTATTATGAGGGCCTGGCAGAGGGAGGTGACGTTTGAGCAGTAACCAGCCTGGGGAAGGGCACCCCAGGCAGAGGGAACCACAGGAACAAAGGTTGAGTAATAGGAGCCTGCGTGGTGTGTGGGGAGCAGAATGGGCCAGTTTGCAGGAGCCTTGTCAGGTCTGTCCCTCTTAGGGAGTGAGTGATAGGGAAGTGAGCAAGTGCTGGTCCCTTTTGTATTTCACATTTTTTCAGCTACTTTGTGGATAGGGCACTGCCAGTGACACCTGTGGAGGCCATGGGTTATCTAGAACTGTGCTGCCAGTAGCTGGGACGAAGTGGTGACCTGAGAAAGGCCATCATCAGCATAGGGGTTGTGTATGTCATAAAAGGACATCTGTGGGTCCCCTGCTGACAGGCATCAGTCTACTTTCACTGGTTTTACCAGGACCATGCTCTGTGTCCCTGGCAGTTCCCTCCTCTGACCCTCCACCCTCTTGGCAACTGAGTCCATTTTCATTTTCACATTCCAAGGCTTGCCTGACTCTGTCCCCTCCAGTGATCTGGGAGGAGAACAGATGCACCCAAATGAGAGGGCAGGAACTGTGGCTTGGCCACATTGGTTTCCAACCTGCCCATCCTGCTTTGAGCAGCTGCCTCTCTTCCACGTGGCCGGTTCTTATCTTGCCAGTCCAGGAAGCCAGTGCAGGAAGTGGGCTTGGGCCTGGCTTCCTGTTGTTGCTGGACCTCCCCTGGTGACTTAGGGAAGGCCTGTGGGATATTGGATCTGCCCCCCATCCCAAACCCTTCCATGGGGAGCCACCCTGTGAAGGTTGAGGACCATTTCCAGCTCCATAGGAGACGCCTTCTAGTTCTACCACCTGGAGAAACAGCTGCCCCATGTTGTATGGAGTGACGCCAGGGAAGGACAAAGTGAAACCTCTTTGCTTCCTGAGGCAGTTTCATGTCTGCAGGGCCCTCAGTCCAGAACCTTCATCTAGCCATACTGAATGGGACCCTGGACCCAAGCACTGCCACCTGAGTCACCTTCTAGAGAACCACAGGTGGCCCCAGTGTACAGGTCCTGATTTGTATTCCCAAAATGAGCTGATTTCCCCCCAATTATACCATGTTTATTATTAAAAAGAAATTCAGTAATGATTGAAAAAGAAATATCTGGGTGAGCTTTAAAAGATTCCATCCTTTATCTGCCATCTCGCAATAACCACAGACTTTTTCTGTAATGTCTCTTCCTCTTACCTGGTGAATTCCTGTCTTTGAAAACCCAGTTTAGATGTGGCCTCTTCAGGTCAAGGTGGACTCCCCATTGTGCCTGGCTGAGTCACTCTTGGTCCAGTTGGGGCTGCCCTCTGGCTGCAGACAGACAGGATCAAGACAAGTTCTTGCTCTTACTAGCTCTAGTACTGGGTAACATTCTCAGTATCCTCATCTGTAAAGAGGGAGTGATGATAATTATACACAGTGCTGGAAATGAAAGACCCGTAGCTGCATGTATCCATGTGGATGCATCTCAGACATCAGTTGAGCAAAACAGCTGCAGTGGGACCTGTACACTACAATGCTGTTGATAAGCATGGTGGGTGTGTGAAAAATGTACAGCATGAATTATAAAAAAATACCAAATGGTCATCCCTGGGCCTAGGTTTCACCTGTCTCTGGAAGAGAGATGGGGCTTGAGGTGTTCTTTCCTGAACTGGGAGGCAGGTGTATGTCCTAGGGTTGTACAGAATGAGGAGAATGCCTCTTAGGGGGTGAGGCATGTGTGCTCCTATACCCCTGGTGCTATCATGGGAACCTGCCCAGAGGCCTGTGGCTCCCAGGAGCTGATTAAACAGACTAATCTTGTGCCTTTGCTTGCCTTTCAGCTCCCATTGTCACTGCTGAAGACGGCTCAGAATCACCCCATGGTATGTGCCATCTGGGATGTCGAGTTTCAGTGGGGACCAGCCTCAGCACAGGGACGGGGACACTGGGGGAAGGGTGAGGTGCCTCCAGCCAAACCTGCTTCCCTACCTGTTCATAAAACAGCAGCTTGTTCTCTTCTTTCCCACACAGATCAGAACCAGTGTCATTTTTGCTGCTTATAAAAGTAGTAATATGTGTTTATTAAAAATGTCAAACAGGAAAAAAATGTCAGACACAAGAGAGACTTACAGTGGTAGCACCCTGCATTCATCTTCCCAGCAACTTAACTAATTCCGTGATATGTGTGTGTGAACATGAATGTGATTTTTAAAACAGATGGGATCATGTGATGCACATTATTTTCAGTATGTTCTGTTTTCTTTTTATTCAGTGTAATTCAACTACCATAAAACTCAGCCTTTTAAAGTGAACAATGCAGTGGCCATTAGTAAATTCACAGTGTTGCATAACCACCACCTCTCTCTGGATCTAGAACATTTCCATCACCCAAAAGGAGACCCCATTCTCATTAGCAGTCATTGCCCATCCTTCTTGCCCAGTCCCTGAGAACCACCAATCTATTTCCTGTCTCTCTGGATTTGCCTCTTCTGGACACTTCATATAAATGGGGTTATATAACATGTGGCCTATGTGTTTGGCTTCTTGCACTCAGCATGTTTTCAGGGTTCATCCACATTGTAGCATTTTATGGCTGAATAATATTTCATTGTATAGATGGACCACAATGTATTTATCCATTCACCAGTTGATGTACATTTGGGTTGTTTCTATCTTTTGGCTATTTGTGAATATTTGGATGCTATGAATGTTCATGTGTGCATTTTTCTGTGGGTGTATGCCTTCATTTCTTTTGGACAGATACCTGAGTTGGTTCGATTTTGGTTCTATTTTTCTGTTGTTAATCCTCACCCAAGGATTTTTTTCCTTTTTTTTTAATTCTCACTCGAAGATATCTTTTCTATTGCTTTTGAGAGAGAGTGGAAGGAGAGATAGAGAGAGACACATCGATTGGTTGCCTCCCACACACGCCCCGACTACTGGGGCCAGGGATCAAACCTGCAACCAAGGTACGTGCCCTTGACTAGAATTGAACCTGAGACTTTTCAGTCCGCAGGCCAACACTCTAGGCACTGAGCCAAATTGGCTAGGGCCATTGATTTTTCTTTTTAGAGAGAGGGGAAGGGAAGGAGGGGGAGAGAGAGAAACATCAATTGGTTGCCTCCTGCACGCCGCCCAGTCAGGGCCCGGGATTGAGCCTGCAACTGAGGTATGTGCCCTTGGCTGGAATTGAACCCGGGACCCTTCACTCCATAGGCTAACGCTCTAACCATTGAGCCAAACCGGCTAGGGCAGTTTTTTTTTTTAAATCACAGCCTTTGTTGTTTTTCTTTGTGGTGGTGGTTTTTATTCCCCACCAAAAAAAAAGTTTCCTCATAGAAAATCTGCAATGCCCAGCAAAGTGTACAGAGAAAGCAGAACATGTTCCTGTAAGATGGGCCTCTCCAGGGGCCTGGGTGCTGTGTGCAGTGGCCCCTGCGTCCTGAAAGGGGCTGAGGACATGTCTGAATGAGGTCAGAGCTGCTCTTACTGGCAGGACTGCATCTCCCTTGGGGCCTGTGGCTGACTTGGGGCCTGTTTCTCTCCAGTTAGTGGAACTTAAAAACGGGGAGACATACAATGGGCACCTGGTAAGCTGCGACAACTGGATGAACATCAACCTGCGTGAGGTGATCTGCACATCCAGGGTGAGTACCCTGAGCTGGAGTCTGTGCCCGATACCTAGGGGCCATTGGGTGGGGCGGGCAAGCATGGGAAGTAGGGGCAGTGTGATCAGGAGTGCTTGCTTGGACTAGAGGTTTACAGAGCTTCAGCATTCTGGCTTCCAAGTGGAATGAAGGCATTTCCCTGCACCTTTTAGGAGGAGTAGCCTGCCACAAGTCATCTTATGGCTGGGGGGGGGCCTGCTAAGAGAGGAGCAGGGCCTGAGGGACTCAGCGGGGTGTGGAGGAGCAGTACCAAGGGACAGGGCTCCAAGTACTCCAGTGCCTTGGACTTTGCACCTGTGAGGACGTTACACGTGTGGGTTTGCTTCCCGAGTATGTACTGAACTACTATCCCTCTCCTGTCCTGCTCCTACTGGTGACCAAGAAAGACTCAGGCCTGAGGGGGCACTTCTGGCTACAAGTCCCTGCTCTACTGGTGGGAGTTGGCCTCTACAGCAGACACACCCTCCCTTCCTGTCAGCTTCGCTGCTGTTGTCCAGGCTACAGGTCATGGTAGTGTGGCCATGAGGAGTATCCAGGCCATCAGGGGGTGAGGACGGCTCTGTGGCCCCAGAGGCTTGTTTATCTCCCCAGGCCTAAAGCCAGGAAGTGCAGGGCCAGAACCTGAGCCACCAGGGCTGGGGGAGGGTCACAGGGATGATCCCAGAGTCATATGGACAAGGATGGTGGTGGAGGTAGTCTCCCTTCTAGTAATGTGCATGGGCTCTGTCCTTCCACCTGGACTCCAGTCTTGGTCCTCATGCTGGCAACAGCCCCCCAGGTTACAGAGGAAGAAGCTGCTGGGGGCCTCAGCCATGGTGGAGCTGTCTTGAGCCTGTGGGCAACATGCCCCTAGGATTTGCCACACAGTAGTATAGCACAGCATAAAGCAGCCACCCACCCCTGGTCCATCCTTCTGGATGGTTCACACCCCAACAGGCAGACTGGTGGGCATGACCTCTTCCCTCACCTATACAGTTCCATGACCTGCTTCATGTAATGGTATATCGTGGAGCTTCCACATCAGCTAGAAGCACACTCCTAGTTTTCTTGCCACATGCCAGGGAGCAGGTGTTTGGTTGGCTCCATTGTGGCCTTAGCAGACAGTACTGCAATGCATAGCCTCACATGCATATGTCTTTCTGCACATGGCCAGTAGGTCTGTGTCCACTTGTGGGACCTAAAACCAACCACCAGGTTCGGAGTGAGGTTGGTCCGGCCTCCAGAGTCGGCTCCTCTGGGCAGTTCTCTCTGTGACCAGGTAGTTGGGAGGAGAGGCTGGAATGAGATTCAAAATCCCTTGGGCAGTGGGTGGCAGAGTCCAGAGACCCCAGGGGAATCCCAGGTTTGGAGGTACTAAACTGCCACTGAAAGCAGAGTGAGCCCTGGTTCCTGCAGGGAGCATACTGGGCCTGGTCTGTCTTTGCCTGAGGGAGAGCTGAGCAAGGAGCAGCCAACCCCAACTCTGGACTCCAGCTTCCATGGAATCCTTTTGTTTCTGTCTGGCTGTACTTTGCATCCTCACAGATTTGGCCCCTCGCCCACTTTTTCTGGGAAAGGAATGTGCGGGGCCTCGTGGGGTTCCTGTGTGGGATGAGAGCTTGTGTACGTTCCTGGGAAGAGTTAGCCCTCGAATGTTCTGTCTGACCCTCTGAGTACCTCTGCTGGGCCCGACCAGACTGCTGGCGAATGTCATGTAAGAGGGCTGGGGATTTCAGGGAGCCTGGAAGGAAAGCCGTGTCAAGGACCAGTGTTAGCCGGACAAGGAAAGGCGGGAACCGTGTGTGCAAAGTGCTAGGGGCAGGAAGCCCTCCTTATGTGTTCCAGAAAGTTTCAACTGGGAGGTGTGTTGAATGCACAGAGAAGGCAGCCAAGGTGGGGCTGGATCTTGGGCCCTTGGGAGCCATACTGTTTTTGGACCTGGTCCTTGGGCCAAGGGGGCCCTGAAGGGGGCCCTGACTGGGTTCTAAGCAGGGGGAGGTCTTGGTTTGATTTCTAAGGGTGTGGGGAAAGGAGAAGGCTACCCCAGCTTCTGGCCCTAGGCAATAGGGATGGGGCTAGGAAACTAATCTGATTGAAAGAGTCAGCAGGCTCCGGCCCAAGGGCATCAGGAAGGGATTTCAGGGGAAGGCCTCGTTCTGGTTCCAGGATGGAGGTGGGGAGGTAGTCCGCATCCTAGGAACCGCAGGGTTTTGACTTTTCTACCCCCCGTTGTCTCCTAGCCTCAGTTAGCTCCCCTGAAAACTGGCATCTTGGGGAGCTGCCCCTGGTGAGTGCCAGACATACCTCCCCCTCCCCCTCCCAGCCCTCTTTACCTGTCACATAGGGTCTCTGTCCTGCTGCCCTGTGTCCCACACCAAGCTCAGCCTCTGCCAGGAGATAGCTGGATGAATGAATGAGTCAGCTCCACATCCGGCCCAGCGAATTGATCTGGTGCCTACACAGACCTGGGCCTTAAGCCCTTGTCTCCATACCTGCCTGTGTCTAGGCATGGCATGGCACCTCCCTAGAAAAGGTCCCAGAAGGTGGGTTCTAGAAGGCTGGGGTAGGAGCTGGGCTGTGGCAGCACCTGGTGCATGGGGCAGCCCGTCACCCACTGCTTTGGGCTGCAGGTCACAAACCACATCCCACATTAGAGGACCAGCTGAGGCTATAGAAACCTCCCATGTAGCCTTGCTGCCCTTCCTCATGTGCCAAGGGTGCTGAGGGTCTGTTGAGACCTCACTGGAGGGGTCCCGTGTCATGTCTGGGACTGTGAATTTGGCAGCCTTCAGGGATGGTGCCAGATACAGGTGGTCTGGGACCACCCAGCTGTCTGTACCCACTCTGCAAGGACCCCCTTGGATCTGAGATCCCCACCCCCTCTCATGCAGGATGGGGACAAGTTCTGGCGGATGCCCGAGTGCTACATCCGTGGCAGCACCATCAAGTACCTGCGCATCCCTGATGAGATCATTGACATGGTCAAAGAAGAGGTGGTGGCCAAGGGTCGTGGCCGTGGTGGTCTGCAGCAGCAGAAACAGCAGAAAGGCCGTGGCATGGGGGGTGCCGGGCGAGGTAGGCCCTACATACACACAAACACACACAAGTGGCTGCAGCATGTGGCATCCATTTCGGCCCAATGTTGACATTCTTGGCTGGTGCTCTCACAGTGCAGCGGGTCTGGCTCTGAGCCTCTCCCCACTTGCAGAGCCAGGAGAGCTATGACTCACAGGGCTCTTCTGTGGAGTGGCTGCTGCTGCTGACTGCCACCTGCCCCTGCTCTAGACCCCAACCTGGGGTGCCAGCTGAGTCCCTGGTGCCTTCTCAGCTCCAGGCTCAGCCCAGCAGATTGATCTGGTATCCACACAGACCTGGGCCTTAAGCCCTTGTCTCCATATCTGCCTGTGTCTGGGCATGACATGGCACCTCCCTAAGCCTCAGTTTCCCCTCTGTAGGGAGGGTCCGACAGTGCCTACCTTATCAGGCTGTGATTGAGGACCCCAACTAGGCCTAGCATAGGACCCTTCCCTGCTCTGACTCCTTGATACAAAGCCAAGGTTACACCTTTTTGATAGACTGCCCCTCACTGCCTAGACATGACAACTCTGGCATAAAATTAAATTTGTTGTGCAGTCAGCTGGGGCCTGAGCCCAGAGACCATCTGTAAACCTCACCTTCCTACTTGGGCTCCTATTTTTGGAGTGGCCTGGCTTTTTTTCTTACGCCTTCTGATGCTGCACCGGGAGCCAGCTCAGCCAGGGCAGGGTTACAGATGTGAACCACAGGGAAGAGGGCAGGAGGGCAATCCAGATAGAGGGTTGACAGGAACTGGGGGGTACCACTGATGACTGAGCTGCAGGGAGGGCAGGGGGAATGGTTTGCTCAGGCCACTCTGGAGAGAAGCCCTAGGGACCCCAGGTGGAAAGCCCCCTTGGCAAAGCTGGTCTTGACCCATGAGAAGTTAGGTGGGACAGCCCTTGCCAACACTGGTCTCTGTACCCCAGGTTGGTGGTAGCTTGAAGGAGGTCCTGGGTCCCCAGTGTAGACCTCAGCCTCAGAGTCGGTGGTCTCTACTCCACCCCTGTCCTGCCACCTGCTCCCCCCTCCAATGACCATGCCTTTCCCAGCCTGAGCCCCCACCCCAGCCCTGGTCCCTCTCTCCCAGGAAGCCTGACCCAAGCCCCAATGTGACTTGTGGCCCTCTGTCCTCCCTTGCATCCTGGGGGATCTGGTCTCCTCTGTCACACAGAACATTCTTGAGCATCACCCACGCCCAGCTCTGGTCAGATACTCCACCCCAGGTTTTCACCCTGCTTTCCCCACTTCACAGAGGGGAACATGGAGGCTCAGAGGAGTTAGAATATCCTAGAGCCTGGCTCCCCTGCAATCCCCACTTCTGTCTTGCAGGTGTCTTTGGTGGTCGTGGCCGAGGTGGGATCCCAGGCACTGGCAGAGGTCAGCCAGAAAAGAAGCCAGGCAGGCAGGCGGGCAAACAGTGAGCTGGCCCTGTGTCCCCCAGAGACTTGAGCCCTCCTCTGCCAGGCTGCATGTCTGCTCCGGTCCACGAGTCTGTTCAGAAGAGAAAAAAGAGGCAGGTGTTTGGGGGACCCCAGCCTGTGCATTTTGTGATCCTCCTCTTTATGTCAAGTCCTTTATTTTATTTTTTTAATTGATTTTTGAGAGAGGAAAGGGGAGAGAGAGAAACATCGATTGGCTACCTCCCACATGCACCCCAACTAGGGATGGAACCCACAACCTGGGTATGTGCCCTAACTGGGAACTGAAACTACAACCTTTTGGTGTATGGGATAGCACTCCAACCAACCGAGCCACACTGGCCAGGGCATTAAGTCCTTTTTTTTTTCTTTTTCTTTTTTTTTTTTTTTAAAGGCAGCATTCTACAGTTGGAAATGTTATTTGGTGTTTTTGATTTTGTGAAGTCACAGCCAACTTGATTCCTGGAAGGTTCTGTGTGCTAGTACATCTTTAGAGTCCTTGCCCTTGTGTTTGCATTTTCCAAACAGATTTGTTTTGTATCTCTTGTTGGATCCCTGTGTGACAAACAGATGGGAGGTTTTCATTTTAAGGTCTTTGCACTGAGATTGACAGTCCAGGGAGTTTTCCTGAAACAAACCTGAAATTGTCTTTTCAAAACAAATTCCCACAGACATGTGCCTCAGAAGCTGTGTGGGGACATGGTTGGGCCCTGCTCCTTTACCTCCTTTCTCCCTCTTTGTGTTACAAAAATAAAAACAAAACACAACTACAAACCACAAATCCACAATTTTTTTTTGAACCACTGGGCACATAATAGCATGTGGTGTCCTCAGGAAGTCACAGCCCTGTAAGAAGTTTCCTTCCTAGGGCTGCAGCCCATCTCAAGGAGGGTAAGCATTTCAGCAGGACACTGATCCATGTTCCTCTATGTTTTATGATGATGAGAGGCAAGGTCTAAGATTGGTGTGGGGGCGGGGGCTGCCCCCGTTTGCCTGTAACCCCCTCCCCCTTTGTAGAGAGAGATGATGCTGAGAGAAGTGAGGGTGGGAGCCAGCAGGCACCCACAAGGGCCAGCCTTGCCACCCAACACTCTGCCCTGTTTTGAAGCACCATTCACACCAGAGTTCACCAAGACAGAGACAGGCGACTGCCTTGAAGAATATATGGATTTTCTTGAGCCTCTTCCCTCTTCTCCAAGGCACTACCACCCACATTGCCTGAAACATTGGAACACACACTTGCAAAGCTTCCAGTGTCATTGTCTGGGGACCAATTTTCCTTTTGTAAGTATAGGCATGTGCTGGGAGATGAGTACTCGACACTTGTCACCATGTTGAGACCTGTTTTGAGGGTTGAGTAGAATAAAAGATGGTGTTACCCTTGAAACTACTCTTGTGGGAACTGCAGAGTGCTAGAGAAGTCTCCAAGTCTGGAAGATCTCTGCATTTTAGATTTCTCCACCCTATCTCAAGAATGTGGCCCCCACCACCACCAATCTCCATACCTCCATCATTGCATCTTCCTGGTCATACCCCTTGTGGAACCCAGTGCTGCCTGAATCCTTGTCTAATAAAGCAGCACTTTGGCCTGGGTTGGGGATGAGGTGGATTGTTCAGCAAGCCAAGGCCCTGGGGATCCATCTCCCTCATCATAGATGTGGATGGTGGTCCCCCAACAGCATAGGCTGGGGATCAGGGCTGCTGACAAGGCTGAACAGTCAAGAAATGAAGGACTGGTGGGGAAGGAAGAGCCCTGTTTGTTCCTAGCCCCCACCCCTACGTTGCATTGGGTGCAGGGGCCCATAAAAGGCTCCGGGGAACTAGGAACAGGGCTGCTGCAGGTATTCTGTCTGGTGGAGCTTTGATGAAATGAGGGCTCTGCGACCAGGTGTCCCATGGGCTGTGATGAAGTGTTTTGGAGGCCTGTACCTTCCTGCTCCTGGCAGTTTGTGATTTGGACCAAGAGTGTCCAGAGGCCTCCAGCACCCTGCACCCTTCTGAAGTTCAAGGATGTGAGCCTGTCTGTAGTCTCCACACAGCCCTCAGCCCTGGCCCAACCCAAGCCTGCATAATCTTGCTGTGCCCACCTGATCCTGACCTTTAAAAAAGGCAGTCTGGCTAGCTATCCTGTCTTCTCACCCCCTGACGTGAACCACTGCCCTAGCCCTGTGCTTAGGAGCCTGGGCTTCCTGAATGCTCTGTCTTGAGCAGGTGTTGGGACAGCCCTGTTCTTCTTCCTGGTTGGTTTCAAGAAACCAGCCTCAGCCTCTCAGCAAGAAAAGAAACCAAAACAAGGGGCCTAGCTCTGCCAGTGTGCCTCAGTGGTTGATCATCGGCCCATGAGCCAGGAGGTAATGGTTTGATTCCTGGTCAGGCACATGCTCAGGTTGCAGGCTCAATCCCCAGGAAGGGGCGTGCAGGAGGCAGCCGATCAATGACTCATCATTGGTGTTTCTTTCTCTCTCTCTCCCTTCCTCCCTCTGAAATCAATAAAAAACATACATTTTTAAAAAAGAAAAAAGTAATTTAAACCAATGGGCCTCAATCTTTTTGCCCTGGTGGTCTGTTAGCAGGGTCTGTGCCCTCTCAGCAGACAGTGCAGGATCCTCGAGTGTGACAGTGACCTTCTCTCCCTGGAATTTGCTCCTGGTCACCATCAGGGAGCCCTTGGGCCCAGGAGTGACTTAGCCTGGGGCCAAAAGCCCATTTCTGGAACATAGATACAGGTGTCTGGGAGGAATCTCTGTTGCTTTTCTGCATCACCCCTGCCTGCACACACCTCTGCATCATTCCTCCTCGAAGTCCTGCCCTGAGTCTACCACCCCTACCTCCTCCAGGAGGTGTGGTGACAGCTGTCCTTCCCACCCTCCAGTTGGACCTTGGTGCCAGGCATTGGCAGTATGTGTCTCCAGTGGCTCAGCATGTGCCCCAGTGTCCTCTGCTGTCTACTCAACCCCAATCAGAGAAACCACCTGCCACAGCAGGAGCAAAGGGCTGGCTTAGGACAGAGAAACGGGCCACAACCCATCCCAGATGCTTTTGAAGGACAAGAAAGCAAAAGTGGGGGAGTAGAAGTGGTCAGAGAGGGCAAGATGGTGATATGTGAGAAGGGCTTGAGGGAGCCAGCCATCTTGGGGAAGAGTGTTCAGATGGAGGAAGAGCCCACGCAAAGACTCTGTGCAGATGGGTGGTGGGAGCAAGATGAGGGGGCAGGAAATAGGGTAGATGCAGGCCCTGAGTGAGATGGGAAGCCACGGTGGGTTCCGGAACACACTGAGGCAAGGATGGATGCCAGGAGACCAGGAAGAGGTAGTTCTGGGGACTCAGCCCAGGGTGGAGGCCATGAGGACCCAGGCAGATGAGCTCTCCATTCTACAGTAAGCCCAGGATGCTAAGGCAGGACCTTCCCACAGTGGAGGGGGAGGCATCAATGAGGGGACACAGTCAAACCAGCTCTGGAAGGACAAGAAGGCACTGGCCATGGGAAGAGAACAGGTGGTGGCAACAGCAAGTGCAAAGCCCCTGAGATTCTATGGCCTGCTCCCAAACATAGGCACAAGGGGTGAGGACCGAACCCTAGGTCACACAGCTCCTCCCTCTGTTGCATCCTTGAACTTAGAGGATCCATTGACCTTCTCTCAGTTCTGTCGTGTCAAGCACAGAGTCAGGAGTCAGTTGGGGCAAGAAGCAGGCAACGTCAGCTCCTGCTTAAAAATTCACTCCCTTGCCTGCCAGGCGTAGCTCAGCAGTTGAGCATGGACCTAGGATCCAGATCTCAGTTCGATTCCTAGTCAGGGCACATGCTCGGGTTTCCGGCTCAATCCCAGTAGGGTACATACAGGAGGCAGCCAATCAATGATGACTCTCATTGATGTTTCTCTCTCTCCCTCTCCCTCTGAAATCAATAAAGATATATTTTTAAAAAATAAAAATTCACTCCTCTTACTGTAGCTTCAGCTGAGGGACGGGGTTCAAGGCACATAAGGGGCCCTGCAGGTTTAACCCCACCGTGCCTTGCTGGTAATTGGATTCTAACTCACGGGGACCGTTGGGAGGATTACAAAAGGAGGGATGCTTAGTATACAGCCAGTGCTCCATTCATGCTTGAAACTCTCAGTGGTGCTTCAGTGAGCGCCTGTGGAGTGTCAAGCCTCACCCAGTACCCTTTTCATCTCTGTAAGTCTTGGGGTCAGCATGATTGGCCATTGTCCAGGGGGGCGATGCCATCCCTGTGGGCAGTGGCCAGGCCACTATCCTCTGTGCCCAGAGGCTGGCACCTGATGCCTGGCTTGGTGAGCAGTCACCTCGAAAGCCCCCAGTCCTACCCTAAGAGCTCCCTCCCAGTCTAGGCCCAGTCACCCAGAGGTGACTCACCCTCACCCCGCCTCCACTGGAACCAGGCACTGAAATAGTCACCCAGCTCACTCTCGGGAGTGGCCGTGGAAATACCTCAGGGCTACATTCAGTGCCTAAAAATACCCTGTGGGTCCTATTGAGTCTTCCCCCTCCTGCATTCCCTTCTGTTTCTTTGAAAACCATCCCTGTGAGCACCCAACATGGAGGGTCTGTCCCTCCATGTTGCACCACCCCAGCATGTTGAGTGTCCCTGGAGACCAGGGCTGGAGGGTGTCCCTAAGTGTTTGTGGACTGTGGCCCCTCCTTTGTCACCATGGAGACTAGGACACAGTTTCCCCAGAACATTCTGGAAGGGCAAAGTTTTCTGAAACCCCTATAAGTATGTTCCTGGAAGGGGAGGCCTGGGTGCAACACCCAGTTTTCCTAAAAAAGGAGAAAATGATTCTTGCTGTTTGTGTTCATGAGTCTGCAGGAAGCAGGTTCCCCAACAGAGCCCTCATCTGGAATGAACCCCATAGCCTCCCCCCACTTGCTGTAGGACCCCACATAGATTGTAGTTCCTTCTTTCTCCCTCACCCCTGAGGGGGAGACTGTCCCCTCCAAGGCACCCAAACGTCCTTGACCTCATCCCAGCCATTCAGCCTCCTGGTCACACTCTGTCCTAACAGAGAAGATGGTAAAGGGAGAGACAATCGGCTGCCTCCTGCAAGTCCCCTGCCAGGGATCAAGCCTGCCACCCAGGCATGTGCCCTGACTAGGAATCAAACCAGCAACCTTCTGGTGCACTGGAGGATTCCCAACCAACTGAACCACACTGACCAGGTGCTTTTATCTAATGTCCTTTTTATTATTTTTATGGAGGTA